ATCTAAGCAAACATAGAATGACAATTTATCAAAATGAGAGTAAATAAGAAAACGACGATCCTCGGTGAATACTCGTGGTGAAATGATTTCGCTCCCGTGACCCAGTTCTTCTCGGGCTCCCGCCCTTTTCTTTGGGTGCGCATTTGACCTGCTGATCAAATCAGCACACCCTCCCCCGCGGCCTCGTGCCATTCGTTTAGAATTCTCTGCAGAGCCTCCCTCTCTTCCGGCAGCGGACAAATACTTGAATGATGGCGATCGCTCCTACAGTAGCTGGAGTTACTTCTTCTCGGACATGGTTTTTCCGAGCATCTTTCAACACAAAAAAAAAATGCATAAGTCCTTCAATCTCACTATTTTGCGCCGTTCTTCAGCACTTCTGACATTTGGACAGGTGTCCTCCTCGTCTTCCCTATTGCTTCGCAGAACTGGCATAGAATGAGCCTGCCTTCTTTCACTAGGGAGTCCGAGTATCTTCATATTTTCTTGGCTCACAAATGGCTAGATACTGCAGTTTCTCCTTTGCTAGTGCTACCTCCTGTGGCATCGCTTTTCTTTTCTCTCTTCTTTGCAGCGAATTTTCGTATATCCGCTCCTTTCTTTTTAGTGGGCCTTCCTGTTGCTTAAACAGTTCCTTCATCTGAACAATGGCATTAACCTGTGCGTCTATGACTAAGTACGTTCTTTCCTCCAGCTTCCTTTCAAAGCTTCCTGTCCTCTCTTTCAAAGAAGTAAGAATCTCCTCCATCTTTTCCATTATTTTCTCCTCCATTTCTTCCACTGGTTCTCTCGGTTTACAGTAAATCTTCTCATAAACCACTGAGTCTATTCGTCGGATCTTTGCCAACATTTTTCTCACTCCATCCAGAAGTTCTTCGGAACTTGCACTACTGCCCTGGGATCCGGCGGCTAGACTATCTTGAATAATTCGCTCTATCCTATCCAACTTTTCTGAGATGCTTTCTCTCCCTGGTTCTTCGGCGAAATGATCGACTTTCAATTTCTCCACTTCTGGAAAAATTTCTTGGAGCCTCTCAAACTCTTTGTTCAAAATCGAGCGGTTGATCAGTCCGCTTTGGCCTCCTGGCCCTCCTCTCTCTATGTTCGAAATGCCATCGGCTTCTTCTCAAATCAACATTGCGATCTACTAGCATGTCGTAAACTTCTCAGAGGGGTTCTCCAACAGCCAGGTTGCGTTGACTCTTAGTCATCACCGTTTGTGTTTCGTAAAAAAGCTTGATCGACTCTTCATGGGTTCTCCGTGGGTCTTCCGGATTCCGTACCTCCTTTTTCAAGAACTCCAACTTTTGCTGGCAGTCTTCTGAGCGTGATAGCAGCACTGTGATATCCACATACACTATATCCAGTCTTCTTTGGATCTCTGGCTCTTCGAACATTGACTTTGTTTTTTTCATTTAAGCTCTCTAACAGCGACTCGCGGCTTCTCGTGTCTCCATCCTGA